CCATGAGGGTGGTGAGGCCCTGGCCCAGGCTGCCCAGAGAAGCTGTGGCTGCCCGCTCCCTGGCAGGGTTCAAGGCCAGGTTGGATGGAGCTCTGAGCACCCTGGGCTGGTGGAAGATGTCTCTGCTGATGGCAGGGGGGTTGGAACCAGATGATCTTTGAGGTCCCTTCCAACCCTTACCACTCTATGATTCTATGATTTTATGATCATATTGGAAACACCACAAAGACACCTGCTTTTCTCTGCTCAGGACCTCCTCAGGTCTCCGAGCGGCTTTCAGGTGCGTCTGTGGTGCACAGAGACGTGATGCAGCGCTCCCTGCGCTCACAGCTACCATCGTAGGTTTGGAACCCATCGCCTCGCCCTGCACCTGCGCTACCAGCGCTGCCGGCGCAGCCGTTTCGTGTTCGGGTCCAGCTTCCAACCCGCAGCCCCTCTGGGACGGTGCAGGACGGGGCTGTCCTTCGCAGGAGAGTTTTATTGCCAAACTGACCACATCCCTACAGGGGACAGGCAGCAAGCAGCGAGGAGGTGCTCAATGCCTTCGGAGCTTTGAACCCCCACCACGGCACCGGTGCTGCCGCGGGCATCGCCCCACGGCAGGGAAGCAAGGGCAGTGCGCTGGCGAGTCGGGCTCTCCGCAGGCTCTCCAGGAAGTGGAAGCGAGGAAATATTGAAAAGGAGCAAAAAAGATTCCTGATTTCCACTGCCTTTTGCTAGCACTTGTGAAAATGACTTCCAAAAATTAGTGATAATTTGTTAATCACACACTAAGTCTTACAATGTTCACATATACTCTTAAAACCCACGACCGTGAAAAATAAGACTGGATAATAATTTGAGCTCTAATATTTTAATTTCTTGTATGAAAATGATTTTCGAGCCCTTGAAGTAGAAGAATCACAGAATCATCGAATCCCAGCATGGTCGGGGTTGGCAGGGCCCTCTGTGGGTCACCCAGCCCAACCCCCTGCCCAAGCAGGGTCACCCAGAGCAGGGGGCACAGCACCGCGGCCAGGCGGGGCTGGAATATCTCCAGAGAAGGAGACCCCCCAGCCCCCCCGGGCAGCCCCCAGGGCTCCGTCACCCTCAGAGGGAAGAAGTTCTTCCTCGGGTTCAGCTGGAGCTTCCCAGGCTTCAGTTTGTGCCCGTTGCCCCTTGTCCTGTCGCTGGGCACCACTGCAAAGAGTCTGGCCCCGTCCTCCTGACCCCCACCCTGCAGATATTTATAAGCACATATTAGGTCCCCTGAAGTTCTTGTCTTCTTGCCAGGTCCTCGTTTCACAGCGGATGCATGTCCTTGGTGGAGCAAATCTGTGACCAAGAGATGTTCCTTACCTGGAACCTTGCTGTTAGTTCGCCTTATAAGAAACAAACCCCCTAAATGTACGTGACCCAGGTAACAATGGGAGCAGGCTGCAAGCTCGGAGGTCGAGGCGGGATGGAGGGACACGAGGAGGAGACTGGGACCTCACGGAGCAGCACCGCAGGAGGAGAGCGGCCTAGAGGTGGGAGAGCCCGCCATGGCAGCACGCGGACGGCAGCGTTGGCGAGGGAGGTGGCAGTTGGTTGGGGTGGCTGTGGGGTGGCAGAGGCTGCGGGAGGGAGCAAGATGGCACCCGGGCTGCGGGTTAACCGCCAGGGAGCAGAGGGAGCTCGTCGCCAGGGGATGGGGACAACGGCTCTGGCTGCAGGCACCGGGAAGAGGAGCATGGAGGGTGATGAAGCTGTGAGGTGACGTGGGTGCGCTGGGCAGCACCGGGGAGAAGGGCCCATGATGGCGGCATTAAGGTGGGCAACCATGAGGTGGACGGCCATGAGGTGGGTGGCCATGAGGCCGGCAACCATGAGGTGGACAATCATGAGGTGGACAACTATGAAGTGGGTGGCCATCGGGCAGGCGACCATGATGCAGGCAACCATGAGGCGGGTGACCATTAAGGTGGGCAACCATGAGGTGGGCGGCCATGAGGAGGGCAACCATGAGGCAGGCAACCTTGAGGCAGGTGGCCATGAGGTGGGGGGCCATGAGGCAGGGGGCCATGAGGGGGGCGGCCATGAGGGCG